TATAGTCAACTAAAAACTTAGTTGACTATAATTACCGTTACTTGAAATAAAATATGAATTAAAAAACTTGTTGTATCTAACCTATATTTGCCAAGACGTTGTTTTTATCTTGATGTATTAAAAAAAAATGAAATACAAAAAAACCCCCACACAATTATAATAAAAAGACAAACATTTTTTAAATGACAAAAACAATAACATAACTAAAACTTAAAATATAAAAATAAAGCTATAATTGTATCCTAACCTCTTAATGTGTTCAAATTCCTTTAGAATAAATTTAGATTTTACAGAAAAAAAAAAATTTGAATATTCATGAGAAAACATTTTTAAAAATAGCATTAATTACAAAGTCACTGTAACTGTACTATAAAAACCCAAATTGAGTACAATTCACTGTTTAGCTATTTAAAGGGACAGTTAATCAAAAAAAAATAAATAAATTGTCATTATTTACTCACCCTCATGTCATTTAAACCTGAATGACTTTTGTTTCTTTTTATTTGTGAAAAATATGAATATATCAATTGTTCACCATTCAATAAAAGTTGTCTAGATCCCAACATTCTTCAAAACATCTGTATCTTATCATTTGTGCTCCACAGAAAAATGTCATATGGGTTTGGAACAACGTAAGGGTTAATAAATGCACCGTTTATGAAATGCTAAATATTAATTATATATATTAGGACCATGTGATATTTCAGTTTTTCTTTTTTAATAAATCTGCAAAAATGTCAACGATTCTGTGTTTTTCTGTCAATATGGGGTGCTGTGTGTACATTAATGAGGAAAAAAAATTAACTTAAATGATTTTAGCAAATGGCTGCAATATAACAAAGAGTGAAAAATTTAAGGGGGTCTGAATACTTTCCGTACCCACTGTGTATATATATATATATATATATTCAAAAGTACACACAATGATAATGCTAAAATTATGACAATGATAACTCATGGACATAAACACTCATAAATCAAGTTTTATCTTAATTTCTTTTTTTTATTCAAAACCATGGATAGTAATATTAAAAGTACGTAAGTGTGTAAAAACAGATGAATTTCAGGCATCTTTAGGCTTTATTACATTACAATTTGACATATCAGAGCCCAGTTGCTTTATTTAAAAAAAAGGCAGCCTTCATTATCATCACCAGGAATATCATGGTCATCAATGGTGTCAGCACAGAACATGGCACGATGGTCTGCTCTGTGCGCTGCCTACCCTGCAAACAACCGATCTTGCTGAAGGCAGTTCATCAACTGACTTTTAATAAGACCCCTGGGAATTTTGGGAGTAACTAACATACACTGACATTCATACGCTCATATTCGGTTATTCAACGCACACACACGCATCCAACCACATGTAACAGAATCCCCTATGCAGAGGTGCTTTATTATTTTTATAAAGTGTGCATCCTGAGAGGTTCAGCCCTGCAAATATATGGGCAGGCGATTGTCTCCAGAGTCTGAGCTCTTCACTGGCCATAGTATACACAGATACACACATGCAAAAGCACAAGATCAGCCTAGAACATGCACAGAAGAAATAGTAATTTCTGACAGGACGGTTAGATTGTGTTGTCCCTAAAACGCCACGCCAGGCTGAGTGTGCACGTTCTGCGCATGTGGGAACACAAGTACACGTGTAACTCTCTCGTGAGCACCACTAAATCTGAAGGTGTAAGGCCAGAGAGGCATATGGAGTCTAACGTCACTCTTATGATCATATCAAACAGTCGATATTTTGAGTTCATAACAGGTGTCATAATCCCCTCACTTCTCTGGATTGGCTTGAAAGTCCGCTCGAGTCACTGGGAAACTAGCCCACCTCAAAGTCCACACTCTTATCTGTCCTAAGAAAACGTTTTGTATTTTCAGATCTCTCCCCTTCTTAAATTGAACTCACTCGCAAACAAAAAAATAAATCTCTTTCTTTTGTGGAGTTTCAAGACCAGTCAGACAGATTAGGGAATCCCAAAAGATACCCATCCCACCCAATCCCAAATCATCCTATTAGAATGGAGATCGTCCCCATCTCTGGCTCTCAGTGGAGGACGTGCTCCAAGTAATGGGGGTGAGGGTTTTCTTTGACGTATTTCTGGATGTACCAGCAGGTTAAATGGGCTTTTAGGTCCTCCTCTACCACAAAGTCCATTGCAGCCTAGCAAAACCAATCACAAACTATATTATTTAATGCACACCAACGAACAACATAACGTAATATCATGATGTACTGTATAAACCAGTTCACACTGATCTTGAGTAACCTTCTACAACCTTGGCAAGATGTTTGGCGATCTCTCGTCCTCGGTAAGCTTCAGGAACCTCGGTGTGCTGCAGATCCACTGTCTTCTTCCCCACATATTCATACAGCAGAACAGCCCTGTCATGGGAACCTTCAATAGAGATGCAAAAACACTAGTCAGCGTACAGTAAACAAAGTTATTCCTGACCGTGAAGAACTGCTCCGTCAAACAGGATGCATGTCTGTGCTTTGTTTTTCATTTTCACCGTCGTAAACGAGCGCTTTACGGGGAAATAGTCGCATAGTCGTGGGCTGGGTTTATGTCTCTATGTTATCGTCATTTTTGTGAATGCAAACCCTTTATTTTCATGTGAAACCCCGCGAGTAATAAGCGCAAGTCTGTTCCTGCTCCTCCGCTGTTGCTACAGAATGACATAAACGTAGCGACATGAGTTTGCTTTGTACCGAGAGAAAGATGATGGAACAGGAAGTAGCCTAAAACAAAGTATGGATGGGATGGCTAGCAACATAGTTACCGATTCACACAGAGAAGAAACAAAGCTTGCGTTAAAGCAAGCGCACGAACTGTGACTGGTGACAGACGAGGTTTACTGCAGCTCAAAACAAAGCTAATAATTGCTGCATGCGTCGGATGAATCCGACACATTGAGCGCTTGTTAAAAGACCTACAACGCAGAAATATAAAGAATAAGCTGATGGCGGGGAAAAAAAACAGTTCCATTCTTTCCAGCAAAACAACTAGTTAATGTCATATTGCATTAACTACTGGCCTGGGATCAAAGCATGTAACGATATTTACAAGGTAATGCGTACTATACAAGTAGAACGGATTTTATTAGATAACGTGTTTGCCATGTTGAGAAGCGAAATATAATAAACAAAAGGCACATTTTGCAGGCGAGCGCACGGTGGATTGTCCCCTTCCCCCCGCGACCACCATCTCGTTATATCTGACGCATTACTGACCGTTCAGTCGGATGCTGAATTGTCGTCTTTTCTTGTCGTGCTCCACTCGGAGAGGAGTGTTGATGTCCAGGACGACGTTCATCTGTGCAGCCTGGGCCATAACGCCTGTGGGTCTGCTGTGTGTCAGTGAGCCACGGCTGATGCGGCGGCGATGAGAGGCGCATTCATGCCTCGCCGAATTGAAGACGAGCATCCGATCCTGCGAAAACACGCCATCCGCGGAAATCAGCTGTGGAGTCACGTGCTCGCCGCCGACCAATCAGGACAGGCGCGTTGTTTAGACACGCGCGGTCTCTTTAAAAAGAGCTAGATGCGGCCGCCAGGTGGAGATACATGTGTGCTGTTCAGTTTTTCTTTATTAGCGATAATTTATAAGGCATGTTGGGAACTTATTATATAATCGAGTACAATATATTACAAAGGTATTTTAGAAAAAAAAATAGAAGGTTGTTTTCTATATTCTTGTGTACTGCCTAACCAAAATCAAAATATGGTGTTGTATTTAGTTAGATCATTTCTTTTTAGCTGTACTTCGTCCTTAAACAGGCTTAATGTAAGAGTGATAAAAAATGCTAATTTAAAATGAAATAATCAGTTAGTTTAATCTCTCTCTCTATGATGTTGTGATGATGTTACAGTTAAAGTTTTGCATCAAAACTCAGAGGACAAAAGATCTCAAGGATCTCAAGTTTTGTCTCTCTCTCTCTTCAGTGGCGAGTGTTACATTATAGCAGTTAACGCTTTTATTTCAGTCCTGAATCCAACTGTGCAAGATGAATGTCCTTTTTGTGCTGACAGAGAGACCGTTTTTCACTGTTTCATGCGTTGTGAGAGATTGAGATCTGTTTACAATTATTGGGTTTATTGTTGGATTTAAGTATTGTAAAAACAAAAAGAGGAAAGGACGCTTGTTAAACTTCATTTTAGGACAAGCAAAAATGGCGATATATATTAGTAGAAGGTACAAAATCCTCTATGATACAAGCTGTCAAGTTGAACTGGTTTTTAAAGGGCCTATAAAAGCAAGGGTAAGGAATGTTTATTTATTTATTTTTTTTATCTATGAAGGAGTTGGATAAGTTTGAAGTGCAGAACATTTGTTGTGAGTAAATGGCTTTATATCCATGCTGGTGAGGTTCAGAGATCTCAGATCCATAATCTCAATTCCAAAGTTCACAGACTTTGCATAAGAGAAAGGAACAAACACAAAACCAAACACAAATTCTTCTAATCACAGGTTAAAAACTACAGCACATCCTGCCAACAGAGGATGGGTTCAAGTTTACTAATAAAAACTATAGCATACAATACACACAGTATTTCAACGAGTTATTTCTCATTAGTAAGATGATCATTTTAGTGAATCACTTTAGCATTTTTCACATAAATAATCACCTTTAGCACCTCTCAGATTTGCATCTTTAAAACTACAAAAAGAACAATATTTGAATTTATGTGTGAATGACAGTACAATACAGAAATTGGTCTTAAGCATGATAATAAAAATAAAAATAATAATGCATTTAGGGATAGACACCACTGGCCAGTCTGCAATCAGGTTTAAAAAAAAGTCTAGGCTCAATCATACACACACATACACATTATAAATTCATTCTCGTTTGGATGTGTCTGTGTATTTAAATGTAAGTTTATAGCGGTGTTATTTCATCTTATTAAAAGACCCTTAACAGCCTGGCAGTTTCTAGACAGAACTAAGTTGATGCATATTTGGCAAAACCAAAAGAGTTTGGAATGTACTCTAGAAAACCCTACACACTATTAGGGCCTCATTTAGGTGTATGTATATATTTAGGGCCTCTCTAATATCTTCCTCAGGGTGTTGATGACATCCTCTCCACTGTTCCAGGGCACCACACTGGCCTTGAACTCTCCAGGTTTGGCTTCCTCCATCTCTTGGATCAGTTTGTGCATTGGAAAGTCCCAGCGTGGGAATGCTATATCGCCCGGTGACAGTGTGAGTGACGGGCAAAAGTCATTGGCCCCATCGCCCACGTACAAAACCTTCTGGTATGGCCGTCCGCCCCTCTCTCGCACACGCTGGGCCACGTACTGCCTCACCACCACCGCTTTGCACATGTTCACAGGGCATCGCAGGCACTCATGGGAGTGGAAGGGGCGAAGCTGCAGCTGCCCATTATCATCAAAGTGAGCTGGGTTGGTGAAAATGCGCAGAAAAAGCGGGTGGAAGCCCAGGTGCTGCAGCCACGTCTCGATGAAGACCATATTGGCGTCTGACACACAAACGACTTCAAAGTCCCTTGAAGGCTGGGAGAGCAGGAAATGCATCAAAGTGGGGATGCCTGGGCAGGGAGGGAGTTTCTCCACTGTGCCTCGAATAGCCGCCGGGGTGACGCCTTGTTCGGCGAGGTAAGCCAGCACACGCTGCATGTACTCATTGTAGCGGCCGGGACGGTAGGTGTCCTTCAACCAGCCAGGCAGGACTCCACCAGGCGCCACAGTAACCATAGAGTCGTCGCTGCACTCGTCCACCAGGGTCTCGTCAAAGTCAAAGAATATAAGGAAACGCCTGCTATTAGGGGGCGGAGCCTGAGCTCTGCTTCTCTGTTGGGGCTCCTCCACTCCACCAGGAGGATGGGGTGGAGAAACACAGCAGTTAAAGACAGAGTCCCGCATCATGGATGGGAGGGAAGAACAGCACAGATGTCTTTTACGTCTCTTTTACTCTTTTTGCTCCTCCACTGCAAATGAAAAGAGCAATCCAGTTATGCCAGAACTTCGAGCAGACAAAAGAAAAAAAAGAAGAGAAAACAAAGAAAATTGAAAAAGATAAACAAGCAGAATGTGGTTGCAGAAGGAAAAACAAGCCAATGAAACACAGCTGTGAAGTAAATAAAACTTTAGCCCTAATATTGAACAAAATTTAATATTTACAAAGTCTTCATCAATTCATTGCAGAGTCTCGTGCATGCTCCTTCAATTAAAAAAAAAAAAAAAGAAAAACAAAAAGTTTTTCCCCCCAGATACAGATACAAGGCCACATATTTATTTTAAATATTGACAAATCTGGCATTAACTTGACTGAATTCATGAATTGAGACTATATTTAAACTGAGTTTCTATGTATGAAACTTTCTTTCGAGTTGTCTCAAAAGTTAGAAAATCTTGTTCACAGCTCACACTGTTAAAATATAAACACGTATTTAATATGTAGTAATATTTTCTTTAAAAGACAAGTCGTCTTGTTTTTTCTTAAATTTTATATATTTTAATTTATATAAAACGTTGATTTATTGTCTGAGGACTGAGTTTTTATTAAGTGATAATCTCATAAATAAAAAGAAAACGATTAAATTATACATTTGTGTTAAGAGCATTACTGATCATCTCTGATTCCTTTATTTGGAAATGTTGCCATTTTAAAAACTGATATCAGGTTGTGGAACGTATTGTGTCTCATGTCAACCAAATATCAGTAGGTCGATTCACAGAAGGAGTTTTTTAACTTTTAGACTTGTTTATCTATATTTATGATGATGCGACTCGCCTCTTTTCACCTTAAGCTCGCCTCTGCGTAGTGTCAACCTATAACAGAAGAATACAGAGAAATATGACTTTACATTTACCAAACTATAGCCTACTCACAAATGTTTCCATTAAGCGAGAACAGTCTCGTTAGCAGTGAGCGTTCACAAAATGTGCTGTTAAACGATATAGCCGACTGTAACAGAAGTTAGATGACAGCGTGATTATTTTTTGTCTCGCTCTAATGGCTTGTAATCAAAAGCAGTTACCTGGTTTTTCGTGCATTTCGATACTCGGCTCAAGGTATAGTTTTAAAGTTAAGCAGAATCATAAAATTGCAAATTAATTTCAAATTAATTTCAAATTTAACAAAAAGTATGTAATGTATAAGGTAATGACACCAGAAAACCCACAGCATATAAACGTTCACAAAATGTGCTGTTAAACGATATAGCCGACTGTAACAGAAGTTAGATGACAGCGTGATTATTTTTTGTCTCGCTCTAATGGCTTGTAATCAAAAGCAGTTACCTGGTTTTTCGTGCATTTCGATACTCGGCTCAAGGTATAGTTTTAAAGTTAAGCAGAATCATAAAATTGCAAATTAATTTCAAATTTAACAAAAAGTATGTAATGTATAAGGTAGCCTAATGACACCAGAAAACCCACAGCATATAAACAGCCAACAAGGACAGGGCTTGGAATAGCCTAATTGTCAGGTAAAACAGCAGAATACCTTGAGCAGGACGTCCAGTTTAGAGGTTCATCACTACTGATCGCTGCCTCCTGCTTCTTCCTGGCTTCTCAAAAGTGCTGGAGATTTAAGGTCCGACCCTGTCTTATGGAGCCACAGTGACGCGCATCGGATGGGCCCCGCCTCTCATCCATCACTGCATCCACTGACAACCTCAGCGACGCGCTACTGGACAGATCATCTACAGCTAGAGCTTTTACAGATAAAATACGATACTAATCTAATAAAGGTAAACAAATTGGTCAAAACTGGACTGAAATGTCGCAATGTAGCCTATTTATTTGTACATATTTATTGTACATTCAGTAGGCTACTTCCATAAGAGCGTGAGAATGAGATGATGAGGGGTTTTTCAAATGTTTTTGCTTAATTTTAGCACATTTATGTACGTATGCACTTTGTTGCATTAGTATATTTACACGTCACTCGCATTAATACAAATATAGCCTACAAAAGCCCATTAAAAATTTACGGCAAAAATGTGCTGCTATAGCGCAGTAGGCTATTGGATGGTTCATCATACACATAAATAAATAAATAAATAAATAAATAAATGCACATTCTGTTATTATTTATGACTAAACTATAACTGAGAATGTTAAATGGTTTTTAATGGGGGTATACTTTAATCCAAGGCGAGTGCAGTTTGTATTCAGAATCACTACCGTGTTTAGTCTTGTAAGAACATCCCGTACTTTATAGTTCCTTCTGTAGAGAAATGTTAATGACAGCCTGTTAAAAAAGGCTATTTTGGGAGGAGTGGAAAAGGGAACTGGTTTGTCATTATCACCATCCCTAAACAGGAGAGTCTTGATAGCCTACTTGATGGGATTTATGTTTGTCTATATAGAATACTCTACATTCAAATTAACTCTTCTGCAGATCTATTGGGCAGAGGATACAAAATGAGACTACTGATTTATTCCGAGAGCATAAGGGCATCTGTTAATCAGTTGTAACTCTATACAGATAACGATATCAAATCTGTGACAATGTGAAGAAAAACACTGAATGCAAATGTCCTTTGTTTCATTTTCATCACCAGAGTTCAATGAGTTCAGGACACTCACCGATGTATTATTTCTGCATTCAACACACACACACACGTCTGGTCAGCTATCCTTGTGGGGACTCTCCATAGGCGTAATGGTTTTTCTACTGTACAGACCGTATATTCTATTGCCCTACACCTAAACCTACCCCTCACAGGAAACTTTCTGCATTTTTAGATTTAAAAAAAAACTTCATTCTGTATGATTTATAAGCTTTTGTACCCGTGGGGACCTCAATTTATGTCCCCACCATGACACGAGTTCCCATGAGTCTGTGTAGTCAGGTTTAAGTCCCCACCAGGATATATAAACCAGTACACACACACACACACACACCACACACACACACACACACACACACACACACACACACGAGTGTATTTTTTTTTATTTCAAGCTAACCTTTTTATATTAAAAATGTTTAATTGTTTCACATTTAAAAGTGCTTGCCTACTTTTTTTTTCTTTTTCAAATCAGTGCAAGACTAAAACAAAAGGCACTTGAATATAACTTTATCTAATCTTTACAAAACAAGATCAAAGGTATAAAGAGATTAAGGTCATACTCACAAAACAGGCCCTTTCTAGTCATTAAAAATGCCCCACTTCCCATACTGCTTTTAGTCTCCCCCAAACACAATTACAATGCACACATACACAAATTCAGACAAGCGAGTTGTGCTTGTGGCTAATTAAATTTTACTTCTTTAAAGTTAGCAGAAAGTGTTAAATGAACAATATAAAAATAGACCAACATTAATGCAAGTCCATCATGGTGTCTCAAAAACAGGAAAACAATACAAAACAGATCTCAACAAAGGTCAGATGTTTCTGTACCAGACACAATGCTTAAAATTATACACTGCTGAAGTCGAGAGGGTAGAGACGTTGAAACAGACTAGCTGAGAAGAGATTTGAGTAAAAACCTCACAAGAATAAACATTATTATGGTCTGCTTATTTTTCTTATCTAGCAAGGTTTTATTAGAAAGTGCATTCCATCAGCTGATGGAGAATGGAGAGAATCAGACAAGTGGCCCAAAATACACTGAGTTAAAAAAAAAAGAGCATATGATTGACAGCCACCTGAACCAATAAGAGTACTTCTCAGGTGAGGAGGGCGGGGCATGAAGGCAAAACACTTCATATGGGACAAACTACAGTTCTCTGACGTATAACAAAGAATCCCGACCAAATCCCCTTGCGATTCTCCCCATTTTCCAACAGCCAGCCATCTTTCACATGTCAGACACATGATAAACAATTCTTTGTCAGTTGCGCAAACCTCTTACTTGGGAGTAAAGTGCAGAGAACAGATGCCTTTGTCTAATGAGAGTGAACAAAAATAATTCACAATCAATCAATCAGCCGAGTCTGATTGACTCAAGACTTTCAACCACTTTATCTGTGCTGCTCCTAATGTCACTATTTAACACTCACTCACACACTAATCATCTGCATGATGAAGAATCAGGAAAAGACAGAGAGCAACTAAAAAGCAGCTTTTGATACCAGCACCACAGTCATAAGATCAGTCAAAGACACACACACACACACACACACACACACACTCCGCTCCTACATTCGGTTGAATACGATTAGAAACAAACCCTTTCTGCATCTTCCAACCCTTCACACAGACTCTCACAAGCACGCATCTCAATTCAACATAGAAATCCGATTTCCTTTTTAAAAAGTCTCACAGAGCATCTACTTTATACAAATAAAAATAATGGTAAGCGAGTTAGGTTGTATAGAACATACAGTAAAACTAATAAATGATCTTGTTTTGCCTTTAATTGCAGTCTTCCTATGACACATCACAGCATTGGTCTTCCTTAACAGTCTCAATCTCCGACTGAACACGCCGGAGAGCTACAGGCATTACCCAGTAAGCATATTTGTATTTTATTTAATAAAAAAAAAAAAGAAAGAAAAAGAAAGCAAGAAAACTCCAATTATCTGAATAAAATCACTGACAATCACAATCAGGCAACAGAAACGTTTCAGTCATTTAGACTACGCTGAGTTTACCGCTTAAGTGCTGTATACTATGTTTTGTGTAATGACTTGTATATGATTCGTTATGTAGAATAGGAATATTTTCCGTTGTCGGGAAGACCTGCATTTCTAAAGAGGTTACACTGCATTTTTTTGAAATCTTTTGAAACCTTTAACCTGTGAACGATTAAACCCGTAGAACCTTTGCAACAGCAGCTGAGTTGATAAAGAGTTAGAGAGAGAACCACGTTTGTGCCACTGAAATCCCAATGGCCCATCGTTTTGATCGTTGAGACGGAGTTTGAAGCGAGATGAAGTGAATCCGAGTAATGCTTTAGGAAGTTTGCGCTTGTGTTCTTGAGATCAGTTCACAGAGATCAGTCCTGTTTGGTCACGAGTGCTAGTGGCAAGTTGGTTTGTAGTATATCAGTTCTGTATCTCAGACACACAAACACACACACACACACATAAACATTTCATTGCATTTCACTGAGTTCCAGCTTTCTGATTCCTGTGAGAATTAGATGCATGTTGTCCATCCGTCTGCTCTGTTCTCCAGCAAGCACCTGATTTCACATTAGTGAGTTTGTGTACGAGACACTGTGTTTCAGTGGTGTTGCGGAGCGGCACCCTGTCGCAGGTACGCATCCTCATGTGCGCAGTGGTTTATTGGCTCGCTCTTAAACAGGGCGGGGGGAGGGGGCAGGACAGAAGGCTGCACTGAGATCTGCTGAGGGGCGTGGCTGGTCATGGGGGCGTGTCCTGTGTGATGGACAGGAGTGTGAGTGTGTGCAGGGTGATGATGCGTGGGCACCGTCTGCATGTGCAAATGAGAGAAGCCGTGGGCGGTGACTACCCGTTGCGGTAGGGGCCCCACCGTGGCAGGACTGATCATTACGGGGCCCACAGGCGTCGACTGAGTGGGCTGGGTTGGGCTAGGCGTGTGGCTTGAAGAAGCCGTGTGGCCGGTAAGGTGAATGGGAAGTGCCATGCTGGCAGGCTGAAGGGTCACCGGGCTGGTGACCCGGAAGCACTTCTCTCGGTGCGCCTTGAGCATGTTGGAAAAGCGGAAACGCTGGCCGCAGATTTCGCAAGGGTATGGCTTTTCCCCCGTGTGTGTGCGCCGGTGCCGCTTCATGTTGGGCCGACTGGTAAAACTCTTCCCACAGATCTCACAGATGAACGGCTTCTCACCTGAAGAGAAAGAGAGAGATGGGAGAGAGAAATTACATCTTGTTTCCTTCACTGGAAATAAAGCTACACGGGCAGCAGGACTTAAACATGTTGTGTCTGATGTTATTACAGAGAACGTCTGGGAGTGTTTAACCACAAGAGTTTAAATGCGTCCGCTACAAGGTTAGACTTGAAGAACCAGCTGGAGGATATGGGAAAACATCAGAAAGACTCTAAAATGGAACATAGAGAACAACTAATACACTATAATGACAAATCTTCAATAAACCCAATTGAATCAAGGAAAACAATTATTCAAGTCTTTAGAATAGTTCAAAGGAATAGTTCACCCAAATTTTTTTTCATTATTTACTCACCCTCATGTCATTCCAAACCTGTATAAGTTTCTTTCTTATGTTGAACACAAAAGAAGATATTTTGAAGAATTTTGAAGAACTAAACAGTTGTTGGTCCCCATTGACTTCAGAAGGAAAATAAATACTATGGAAGTCAATGGGAGCCATCAACTGTTTGATTACCAGCAATCTTCAAAATATCTTTTATGTTGAACATAAGAAAGAAACACAAACAGGTTTGGAACAACATGAGGACAATGATGGGCAATTGTGATGAGAAAAAAATAATTTTTAGGGTGAACTATCCCTTCAAGTCTTTTCAACAACACTAAATAAACAAATTAACCTATTTGAACAGAACTGTTCTACTCTTGTAGTATAAACTTTTTTTTAGCATTAAACATACATCTTAAAATATTTTACAACTGCTTTTAATTGATATGTTTTTGGCATACAAAAACCATACTTACTATAACCATATTTTAATTTAGTAAAAACTAAATGGGTTTATGTTATATTAAACAAATAATGCTCCAATACATTTCCAACTTGTTTGTGTTGGTCTGGTGAAAGTTTAAAAAGTTTAAAATGTTAGTATTTTTCTCACACACTTATTTGACTTCAGAAGACACTGATTCATCAACTGGGGTCATACGGATTACCACTATGTTAGTTTTGTGTAATTTAACTTAAAAACTTTAAGAGACCTATACACTTGCATTATACGGACTCGTAGAGATGGCTTATATTTCTAAATATCTCAGTTTGTGTTGCACAGAATAAAGTAAGATTGTTGTGAAATGTTCTGCTTGAAAAGTGTGCTTGTTGCAAATTTCATTTGAATAGTTATTTTATTATCTAAAGCAACAGCATTTAGATATTTAAGTGTGTCCAAATGTTTTTTGGGGCCACTGTAAATTAGAAAAATTATTATTATAGTAAAACTCCCAAATGTGTGTGAAAGATAACAAAACAGACAATCTATTCATTCACCACTGGGGTCAACTCACCTGTGTGTGTCTTCATGTGCTCGTCGAAATACTGTTTCATGTTGAAGTCTTTGCCACACCACTGGCACATAAACTGCTTGTGTCCTATATGGATGCTCATATGAGACCGCAGCTGGTATTTGTACTGGAACCTCTCGTCACAATTCTGCGCACACACACAGAAATAGACAGCGTGTGGGTGGATGCTGTTTCAGCCTCACTTCAAATCAGGGCCAGACTGAAGCAATCCCAACTTTGTAATGCGAACATAATAACCTGTCATTACGGTTCATAAGCCTGTCATTGACATACTATTTATAGGAATCAGGCCAATCCCACTCATTCAGACTCTCTCACACTACACTCTTAAGTGAAGCCAATGAGCCCCACCCTGACCACCCTCACAGAGCGTTAACCCCCGATGCATTTCTAAGGAAAAGACGCCTCAACGAACAGCTGAGGGAAAAACCAAAAGAGAATATTAGAGATGCAAAATGAATCTACACCGTGCGAACTGACTCTGACACTGGTCTTAACAGTGATGACGAGACAAGTTTCCACTGACAAGCAGTTCGTCCATCCACACTAGAGCTGCTTTTTTCACTTAAATATTTGCAAAAATTGAATTACATTTGAATTCCAATAACAATTTCAGTTAGAAGGAAAAGATCAGTGAACACAAGATTTCTAAACCAACAGTCCACAAGAGGGCGCCATAAATAGAAATTAAAGGGGTCATATCCTCCTGACTACCAGCTATGGAGTTTTGTCTTCTGTAGAGGACATGATGTTTTAGTGATTTCTCTGAGATGTTACATGTCACAGTTTTATCTGGATGTCCTGTACAGAGCACATTCAGGGCTTTTCAGAGATACCAAATGATTGGATGTGTCACCATGACCACTCCCTCTCCTTGGTCTTTAAAAATGGCTGACATTCATTTATTGATCAAATGTAACACCCTAATGGAAATATGATATTTTGTAATTATCATTTAAATCTGACTAATTTTCAAATTGTTTGTCATAAATCAACATCTCAGGAAAATGTTATGGGGTTTCAAATCAAAATATGACCTTCTGTTATGAAACAGGACGTCGATTTCATACATGTCCACTGTAGAGGACACCAGGACTTAAAGCATGTTTATTACACATTTTGGGAGACACAACAACTGAATAGAGAAAAAAATATGTATCAATATTCCTATTAAATATTAGATGTTATTATGAAAATCTTGCTAATTATTACTCCCATTATTTCACTTATTTGTTCATTCTATGTTGCCCCAAAAACACATTAATATGCAAATTAGATACAGTTTATAGATACATTGTATATAATGGAAAAACTTGTTTATGGCCATTTTACATACATTTTGCATAAAGAAAAATGTTTTTTAAAAATAGCTTTCATAGTTGAGAATCGTCTTTATATAAAGTTTGGTATAAAAATTAAAATTGATTTGTGATTAAAACAAAAATCCCACTGTTTTTGCCTTTTCATGTCTATTCATGTCTTTTTATTTCTTAA